CAATGGTTGCCAAAACTTAGTGGGGAGGGGAGGAAGACTAGGTGGTGCTCAGAAGATATGTATAACTGTGAAATTACTTCATGTGCTTGTTATAGGGTGGTGGAAACATTCCAACACAAATACTGCCAAGCACATAGAAGGTGCAATGTCTAGAATGAAGGAAAATTTAAACTATGAACTTTAGTTTACAATCATGTCAATATAGGCTCATGAATTCTAGCAAATGTACCACTCTGAGGTAGTAGGGGAGTCTGTGTCTACCAGTAAACAGAAAGTCCACGGGAAATCATCTATACTTTCTGCTCAGTTTTGTTGTGAACCTAAAATTTCTCTAAAAACTAGTCTATAAATAAATGAAAATGTCAAATTTATTCTGAGAATGAGTAATTTGAATAAGTCAGCAATATGAAGTTCTAGGTGAATTGCATTCTAGACAGAATAAGTGTGCAGATTAWTAGTGTAAGTTTATGTATGGTTAAATATAAAAAAAATCAATGGGATAAAAACATGAAAGACAAAAGGGATAATGAGGCCACATGAGAATGGAGAAACAATCCCCTGCAAGACTATTAATGGCTCTCTAAGCCAGATCAAAAGAAAAATACATTSTAAATGTGACAATATATTAGAAAACTTTAGCTGATCAAAGAATATGGTAGTTTGTATGTGGAGACTAGTGGGGTGGTGGTGAGAGATAAGGTAGGTGGCTTCMCCTACATGTAGAGGGCTTAGGGTTTCCACATGAAATATAATGGCYGATTGAGGTACTTGTGATCAAGCAGTAGAAGTGTAGTAAAAAAGACAAATTCACACATTTTGGAGACAGGGCATACTAAAGGTCAGGGTGAAGAAAAAGWCAGGAATAACCCACCAATTTTGGACTAAGCCACAGAATGTATATCAGCCTTGTTTACTGAATTGGCAGAGATCTGGGAAGAAACAGGCTTTGGTGGAGGAGTATCAATAGTTTCCCTTWTTTCTTATGCTTTAGGAAACCCAAATGCATATTACTAAGTAAAACTAAGTAATATGCATTACTAAGTTAGGGCCTAATCTGACATGATAAAGATATTTTCCTCTGTTAGACATAGGGTTTCTGGTCTAATTCCTAG